TGCCACCTAAGAAAGGCAACAAAAATTCAGCCCTTCACCTGCGGCTGCGCGCGCTCGAGAACTTTTGGCTCCGAAGCAGGACGCACGAGTAGGTCACTCAATGTCAAACCCACAAAACTGTCTCCAGGGCGTGGATCTAATATGGGTCAGTCAACCTTGGGGTATGGCTAGGACACATACATTCGGAAATGAGACCGGAACACACATACGAGCGGGATACAAAGTATCAAGATCATTCTATGTACATGCCGTCAGTCCCACTGTGGACTATGCTCCTGTCGCGCTCATTGCTCCCAGGCCTAAATAAAGAGAAAATTTGGAGACAGTCCAAAACGAAGCAGCCAGGATCATCCTGAGTGCCTCCAGGTAGACAAAGGTCCTCAACCTCTTCATGGAGGCAAACCTCCCGCCCCTGGACACACGGATTGATCGAACGGCAGCACAGTTCCTTTCGAACGTCATCCAGGCACCCCGGACCGCATACATGAGACAAAATGTACTCACCACAGCCAGGGTGCTAATACGTTTTCACTTCAACGTCTAACTGCGTGCAACGGACATGGACTCCGCCACCCTGGCTATACTGATCTTCCGCCGTGGGCACAGACCTTGATCAAGTTCTCGGTCATGAGCTTGTCAAGGAGAGAAAAAGACATTGTTCTTCGCTTCCAAAGGGTCATTGGTCATCACTCCAGGCAGTAGAACCTATTTCACGGACAGACCCGTGGATCCCATCAAACACCAGCCGTCGACCTCGCAGCGAAGGATACCACACCATCATGAGGATCACTGGCAACGCCTCCTCGCACCAAGTAGAGACACGCGATCACGGGAGCCCTAGACCACGCGTCCCTGAGGGAAGGACACGTAGGCATACATACAGATTCTGGATCAGCCATGGACTGTCTTCAGCACAGCATGACAACGCAAAAATCTACCTCCTGACCACTGCCCTCACCATAGCACAGATGATCCTTGCTCAGTAGAGAAGAAGAATCATAAACTGGGTCCCAAACCACAGAGGCATCCAAAGGAATGAGCTTGCTGAGGCTAGCCGAATAGGGCAAGAGCAGGACCCTAAATCCCTCATTATGATTGTCGTTATTATCATCAACTTTGTTAACTATTATCATTGTTGTTTTTAGTACAATTGTCGTTATTATCATTGTTGTTTTTATCATTATGATCATTAACATCATCATTCTTCTTCGAGGAAAGTACACTGCACTGGTATGATTATTGTTGATATTGTAATTGTTGGTATTATTGTTTTTATTATGGTTGTTAATGTTCTATTTATTAGTAGCATCACTATCACTATTATAAGTGGTAGCAGTAGAAGTAATATTTTATTACTATTATTATCATTATTATTATTCGCGTCAAGTACACTGCACTTGTCGTTACGTTATGGCAGACACTAGCGACCAGTCTATCAGAGCCAAAAAGATCTGTAATAGATAACCACGTGACAGTAGAAGCTCAACCCAAGGAAAGTCGGTTGAAATTCAGATCGGCCCATCATGCTAGTCAGTGCATACTGTGCTAGGGAGGCGCTTGCCCTTTTCTGCGAAATCTTGCGCCTTAACCACAAGGGCGGCCGGACGACTCGCAGGCCACCGTCCTGGACTCATTAGTCAAGGAAAGAACTTTTCCAAATCGGTTTGAAATCCATGTTTGCCCGGACTCCGTCCTCCCAGAGCGCACGATGTAAAGGTTTGCAGACCAGGCGGAGGGGTTAAGATCACCCCTGAAAGAAGGGTTAAGGGACGAAGCCAGTTACATTTGCTGTGAATGCGCATCGTTATAGCATGTGTACCTAGGCTCTATCCTGCCAGAACATACACGATTCTACAGAGCATGTCAGGCTGGAAGGGTCCAAGGGCGAAGCCCTCTAATTACTACGATTATGCATCTCTACTGCTAAAGGGCGGTTCAACCGGTCTTGTGTTCGTGCAGGTTTGGCCGTGAGCGCGGCCATCTGGGCCGAATCGGTCCCTTTGGTGCGAAACTTTGAAACAGCTTACTGGTGTCGACGGCCCGTCAGACAAGCGTTAACAATTTGGAATCTCTAAATCGTTTTCCATGCTTCTTTCTTTAAAAAAAATATACGCCTTGAAACATGAAAATATGGTGAAACAGGGAATAAGTCCTTGGCCTCCATGTTGCTTAAACGAGAAGTACCGTACGTGATGTTGTTCAGGCGAGAGGTATGTGCGGTCTATTACGGCGGTGCTTTTCGCAGTTGAAAAACCACGTCTGACCGTCTGGCAGTTGAACCGCACCTTAAATTATTGTCTGCTCTACCTTATCTTAATCTTTCGCTTTTACCTTGTAATTTCCAAGCTCCCCCAACCCCGCTATCGTAACTGTGCTTCATTTGCGACGGGAGTGAGAGCTAGATTCCTTCGAAACACGGCGAGAGCTTTCGGAAGAGAAAGAAAGGAAAAACTTCTTGCTCATCCGGCCATCGGTTTTCGGCGTTGATTACCAGAATAAT